CTTCTTTTTGCCTCCTAACAGCTACTGCAATGTCAAGGGACAGAGAGATGTGCATCTCTTTCCTCTCTCCAGGAGTGGAAAATTAACCCTTTCACTTTCTTGCCACACAGAGTGCGCTCCCACCTAATCACAGCAATCCACAGACCTCCTAGTGCATTAGGTTTGCTTCAGACGCCGCCGTAATTGAGTGAAGGCTTTCAACAGCTTTAATGTCTTTAATTTACCAAGGTGATCAGAAAGCAGGTGGTGTATTGTTCAACAACTCTAGATATGACTAAGTACAATAATTACGTGTTTTGGTGCTATAAATGTGTTTTAATTATTATGAATTAACATCAGTTAAAACCATTAGAGCAAGTAGTGAATGTATTTCTTGCTCAGTAGTCTGTATGCTGCGGGTTATGTGAGGAAGTCAGCTGAAATCCTATTTATCGCTGTGGAGGCTCAGGTGTTGCACAGATTTTCTATATCTTGGATAAACCATTTAGTCTCACTGTCCCCAGTTTCTTCCTGTGTTGCTTGCCAATTTGTAAAATGCACGGGAAGTAGTGAAGTGCTTTGATCTATTTATTTAGATGGAATGATTTGGAGAAGAGATCGCTTTTACTGTGTATCCTGGAAGCACATTTGAAACCCCCTTCTCTATCCTCCAGATAAGCAAACACAATATGATATTCCAAGAGGATGGCATTACAGCAGGTAATGCTGCACGCTGTTAAATAAAAGATGGCAGCTTTCCATATGTCACCTGTCTAGAGGTAATCTAATTACATTAGAATTCATTATGGATATGCAGGTTACACAGCACATCCATTGCCCAGATTGTATAACCCAGTCTCTCACGCTGCCAGAAGAAAAGGAGCCAAGAAGTTAACTGCATGGTGGTTGCTAGACTGTGTTGCCCAAACCCAAACTCTCAGGGAAATTAAGAAGAAATAAATTTCACAAATGACTTATAATTACTTATTTTATTAACTATCATCATAATTTTCCGAAGAAGAAAAACATAATTCAAGAATAATTCACCAGGTGAATACAAAGGCATCTTAACAATAAAGGGTCTTTTGATTTCAGAAAACAGAAAGAAACCTTAAGTTATCTGAATGCCGTCTTTAATAATTTCAATTTTTAATGAAAAATAATTTTAAAAGCCAATGTGAGCTGTCTCGGGCAGATTGATTTCTTAAAACATTTTAAATCATTTGGACTCTTCACTTTTGTCTGTGTTATTTCTTGCTTTTATTCCCACAGCACTTTCCCCTCTGCCTGTGCAGATCAGAGTAGCTGCCTTCTGCAGAACAGCAATCTCATTTTGTTTACCTTGTGTTTCAAAGAGAATTGAACAAGCCAAGGATTCACCTTCTCTAAACAAATACTGGCAAGACAAAGGTATCACAGCTATTCTAGGGACAAGAGGTTTGCTGAGATGGAGAATGGTAAAGACTGGCGAGAAAAAAAAAAAAGTCAATGTGTTTTTATCTGAGAAAAAAGTTAATCCTTTTCACAGCCTCATTTTCTTTGCTTTTGAGATAGCTCTCCGTTTTCATTTAAGTTTTAAAGTTTTTCAGCTGAAGAAAGCAAGAAACTGAGGTATTTCCTTTGTTCCTGTCAAGTAGCTTAAACAGTTTGAGAACAGAAACCAGTCAGAGCAGTGTGATTAGCGTAGCCAATTAGGGTGGATTTGCATATTCACAACACAGCTATCGAGAAATAATTCTGCAGAGATAATGCGAGTGTGGCAGTGCCTGTCTGCCAATCAGAGCACCCTGGCTCCCCTGATATATGGTAATTGAGAAATAACCATGGAGTGATTCTGCGCATTGGGTGCCCCCAGCCAATCCACGGGCTGGCATTACACAGCTGGGGAAGAAAGTGCATTTCTAAGGTGGTAGCAACATGATACCCCTGCACACTGGAAAAGTTTACAGCCCATTTACCTAAAAGGCAACAGCATCTGTAAAATGATTTTGTTCTTCCAAGATTTATTCCATCTACAACTTGTGCTAACTGCCACCTTCGGGGGCCTAACTTCATGAGGAATTTGAGGGACTTGGCTTTTCATGAGATGGCAGCTGGCCAAGGACTAAGTGCCTTGCAGCCCCTTCTGCCCTTCAGCTCAGCCAGTGGTCCGCAGGCATGGAGGGGTACTAGATGGTGCACTGCACAATGTGCAGAAGGTGAACTTTGCTCAATGGCTTAAGGGATGGGTGATAAAACTCTGCTTCCTTCTGCCTGTAAAGGCCTTTCACCAGGGTGTTATCCAAGGACCAGGCAAGAAAGCAAACAGCCCTTCAGGAAACCTTGCAGACTCTGTTGGCTAACAAACTGGGACAGATGATCACAGCAGCTTTTTCATCTCTGAAAGTGAAAAATCACCTTATGTACTACAGTGACAACGATTCATGCTGCATCTTAATGTTTCTTTCTCCCACCACTTGTCATCTCTTACCAAAAACTGCATCACTGCAAGCGTTCAGGTGAGCGTGACTGTGGCTGAGGAAGTGGCATCCAGCACCAGCCACCACCCTGTGCCCATGTAATCTGCATCTTCATGATGCTCCGTTTTCTTGCCAAGGGGCTGACAAGTGAGATTGGCTGCAGTGTGCAGCGTCCGTGTGTGCTGATTTTACTAAGAAATACAGTGATCTCTATCCTTACTGCTCTTGACTCTGCTTCAGTGATGGGGGCCGAAGTCATGGTGTGCAATTGCAACAAATTGGGTCAGGAGGGACTCCCTGGAGTCTTCTCCCAGGTACAACAACACAGGCCACATTCAGTTTCGAAACTGTTAAGGGAAGGCAACAACACAAAAATTAACTTGTGGTGCTCACTGCTACAAGATATTGAGGAAAACTTAACAAAATCCCTAAAATTAAACCATTACGCATATCGTAAGTTTATAAACCAGTATCGTTTTCACCAGGGTAAAGGCTATGAGCTCTCAATCTCCATGCCACAAGGAGGCATTAAGCACATTTAGTTAGGGAGAAATGTTTCTCTCCAGGAAGATAAATTTTTTATAATCATCCATGATAAGGATTTTATCCTTATCTCTGGAATACTCACTGCTGCTTTATCTAGTCCAGTAACCTATGTAAGGTTTTTTTTTTTTTAATAGTCTCAGTCTATGAGTATCCACAATTGTCTCTTCCCTTCCTATCCCCTTTGTGGCACCAGTTCTTTATTAGAAAGTTAATAAACTTTGTGTATGTTCTAAAGATAATATTGAAAACTGCAAAATTGTGTTCTGCATTTTATAATTGGTGTGGAAGAAAGGGGTAGATCTAATCCTGTTGGGCCTTCTCTCTCTTATGCTCTCTCTCTCCCTTTTTCCCTTTTGATGGTAAGCTGCAAATTTTAATTAGCTTCGTTTCCACAATTCAGTCATGCATATGTAATCTTTGTTCACACTTTTATAAAGTAAAATTAAGTGAAAGAAATTGGGTAATAATAGAAAGCTTGTCTGAGCAGAACAAATGTGAATTATCAAACATAAGGAAAGATGACAGGGACTACAGGGCTTGAAGTTGTGCAAGGTTTAAGGTGATTTTTCTGAAACAGGAATGCATAAATAATGCATAGAAACAGGTGCTGATTATCCTGTTTTGGGCATCTTTTGTTCATTATATACTTGGGCTGCTGAGGTACAGTGATAACCACTGAATGTGAGGAGACTGCTTAATAACAGCTTTCTAATGTTTCTCTTTTATCAGCTGAAAGTGTCACATGAGCTTGTCTAGTTAATAAAAATCACTTTGTGAACCCACTGTTCTTAGATTTGGTATTGGAGCAGATCACTGTACTGGGCCTTTCTTCATTATAGCTGCAAAAGCTGTTCTTTCATTTTGCATTGTAATTTAAAGGTTTCCTAATCCATATACACACCCTCTAATTAAATGTTTTCAGGGGTTACCTTGGGAGCCTTCAGTGCTATGGTTTGAAACTAAAACTAAAGAGTGCATTAAATTCATGCCCGCTGGGGTGAGACACAGGAGGGGGAAGTACGTTTTCATCCACTGCTACTCCAGATTATTTGAAAGCATGAGCACAATCGGGATTATTAACTTCACTATTTTTGTATCATAACCTGAGTAGATGGAAATTTAAAGGCAGACAATCAAACTCTACATCTAGAGTTCAGCTTATAACTTCTGAGAAGACTCTTCACAGTCTAAACTGTTATTTTAAGAAGCTACCAGTTCATCAGCAGCAACTGAAAACCAGAACCTCCTGTTGATGTAAATCAGTCCGTGGCTGCGCAAGCTGCGGCAGATGCCGAGGTCTTCATTAAAGGAAACGTGAAAGTAGTGAAGCATGTTGGCGTTAGCGCATGTAGACATAAAGTCTGAAGCCCGGTTAATGTTAAACTCATGAGCAGATACTTTCTCTCCAGTGCCTATTCACACATTCGGCCTGACTCCACCAACCTTGCAGCTTTAGGAGAAACACCTCTTTTTGTCCCGAGAAGGAGCTCCTGTTACAGGAAGTGAATTTCAGACATGAGTGGCTCTCTTTTTTTTTTTTTTTTTCTCCCCTAAACCTGCTTTGCTGCCAATGGCTAGGGATAGCCAAGATTTAGGTTAATGGTTAACAGAGCAGCTATAACCTCACAGAAACTCTGACTTCCTCCTGCTGGGTCCCGGACCAAAAGCTGCCCTTGCCCGTAGAGGAAGAGGCAAACCTTGAAAGGAGAGCAGTTCACACTGCAAAGGGCTGGCGAACGGCACTTTCACTCAGCAGAGAAAGGAGGAGGAAAATCCAAAAGGAGCAAGAGGTGCCATAAAGATAGGTAAGAGCCGAAAGACTTTCCCACTCGGCTTATTGACTCAGTGGCTGTTGGTAACAACCCACAGGTGTGGCTGGTTGAGACGTGTTCCTTGTAGCTGACTGCTCTGACCTGTGTGTCTCGGTCAGAGGGGCAAAGCCAGAAAGGATCTATTTGCTGTGAATTTGAAGATCAGAGAGGGCAGGAAGGCTCTTCTTCCCCCCAGGGGCTGCTCATGGCAGGACAGACATCTCCTTCAGACTGTTCTCATCTCATTGACCACAGCCACATCCCTGAGTTTGAGGTGTCCCTTTGGATCAAGATCGCTTTGGCCTCAGTGTACATCTTCATCTTTGTTGCGGGAATCTTGGGAAACAGCATCACCATCAAGGCCACCAGGATCCTGCAGAAGAAAGGCTACCTGCAGAAGGAGGTCACGGACCACATGGTGAGCCTGGCCTGCTCTGACCTGCTGGTCATCCTGCTGGGCATGCCCATGGAGTTCTTCAGTGCCATCTGGAGCCCCTTTTCCACCCCCAATGGCAACATGGCTTGCAAGCTCTACTACTTCCTCTTTGAAGCCTGCAGTTACGCCACTGTGCTGCATGTGGCCACCCTCAGCTTTGAGAGGTACGTGGCAATCTGCCACCCCTTCAAGTTCAAGGCTGTCTCTGGACCCTGCACAGTGAAGCTGCTCATCGCCTTTGTCTGGGGGACATCTGTTATAGTGGCTCTGCCCCTGCTCTTTGCCATGGGCACAGAATATCCCCTGGAAACCATTGAGGGCTACCGAGGTACAACTGCCTGCATCAAGCCTACACCCAGACACCACCTCCCTGAGCTGAAGCACAATATGACCATCTGTACCAACCTCTCCTCCAAGTGGTCTGTCTTTCAGGCCAGCGTCTTCGGCGCCTTTGCTGTGTACATCATTGTGCTGGGATCTGTCACCTTCATGTGCCGCAGCATGATGAAAACCCTGATGATCCACAAGGAGGGAACTGTGGCAGTCAAGGGTGGACCGAGGCACCAGGAGCAGTACCTAAGAAAAAGTGAAAACTCGGAGGGCAAGAGCTCCAGGAGACAGATCATTTTATTCCTGGGTAAGAGCACTGTCCTACGCAGCCTCCCCTCCTCTGCCCCCCTTCCACATGGGAAGGAAACCTAGAAGCCTTCATTTTATCTTGCCAAGTTCCCCAAATGGGGGATGTATGGTTTGAAACTGGTGCAAAATGACGGTCAGGGATACTTTTGGTTGTGATGATTTATTTTAAGAAACCTGATTTCCCTGTATGCTTTTGGCTCGCTCTTTTTGTCATTAGGTGGGAGAGAGGAAGAAGGAAAAATCCATTTACTGTCTGATATTTATGTTGTTTGATTATACTACATGCCTACACGCAGCAATATGGGTAATGGGGTGTTGCTGCTGGACCTTTGAGGTAGCAATAGGCAACAGTTGCCTATAACGTAGGTCTACTTGCATGTTTTCCCATTAAATTACAAATATGTGCATATTTAATAAGGCTCTTGATGGGAGGGATGACTGTCCTGCAAGATCTGAAGCTGGTCCCACTCCAAAGGCATGTCTCTGTTAATTCAGGATGCTCCCTGGAGGGTACTTACTTAGCCTTGGCAGTTGTGGCTGTGTTGCATCTGAGCATTAAGAAAGCTGGGCTGGAGCGTTGATTTGGTCTTGCAAATTGCTGTTGTCTCCTTTGAATTTTTTTTCCTGGTTTTATTTGAAGGCCTATAACCTTGGAATGATGTTTGATTCTGATCTCTCTCGCCACATTTGTCAGACAAAAACTAATCAAGCTGTCATTTCACCAACTTGGAATCTTTCCGGGCTGTGATCCATGTAGTCTCCGCATTTGTTGATGCTCTTAGAGGCACCCTTAATCATGCCCTGGCTGAATTACTGCTAGTTGTTGTTTTGTTAGGTTGCTTAATATGGTACTGGATATAATAAATGAACATCTTGAGCACAAATGCACAGCAGACCTAGGATTTCTGCGTTGCTTTTTGGTGCTCTGCTTGATATTGCAGAGAGGGAATTGAAACTTGTGGGTCTGTTCACTTCTACAGCTTTAAGTAAATTAGCTTTTTTAAGACTCTTCTTTTTTTGAGCATTCTCTGCTTCCTCATCTAGTTCTGTGTCTGCCATGGTCTGTGCTTGGGAAGTGCAGGGTAAGGAGCCCAGGTTGTACCCAGCTCCTTTTCTGCTGTCCCTGTGTTAAGAGTTGGGAACATGGTGAAAACCTGCCATACAGTCAAGGCATATGACTTGATAGTTTGGGGAAAGGGTGGAGCTGCACAGTGTACCAACAGAGACAGGGACGAGGCTCCAAATGGGAGTTGTGATGCTCCAGGCTGTGCAGAGCTCTTCCTCGTGCTCAGGGTATACCTCTGAAGAAGGAATCATCTCCCTGCGCAAGGTATCTGTTAGTCTGGGACATGAGACCCTGTATCTGGGTGACTGAGAGGGCTCTCAGTATCCTTAATCCGCTGTAAGGGTACCCTCACTGGGCTGGAGGCTCAGCGGTTAATGCTAAATACAGCAAGTTGCACAAAGCAGAAAGCACTTAACTAAAACTAACTTTATGTTAAGTGCTACTGAAATGTCTGTGGATCTCTCTCCCTTTGTAAATTACCATCCGCAGCTACATCTAAGCCTAGCTTAAGATCCAAATCCTGTAGCAAGTTCTAGCTAGGCTGAGAGGTGAAAGTAAATTGCCGTGGCTTTTCTTCCCCTCCTTGATTGTTGTTCAGGCTTGGTGATGGTCTAGCGTGGAATAGGTCAGACCCTAGTCCTGCTTGCAGAAATGTTAGAAAGCTAAATGAAAGTGAATGGTTTTTGCTTTATCTTAACTGAATTTGCTGCCAGTATCTGACACTTATGGTACGCCTTCAGCTTTCTGGAGCCAGTAGGTACTTCCATGAATTCCCTAAAATCATTTGAGTGGTGAGACTCTTAATAAGACTCTTGCTAATTTACTTGGTTTAAGAAATAAATTAATAAACTGAGGAGGAAGAAACTGTGGCTTGCATCCCTGAGAACAATGCAAAGCAATTTAATTTGGAGATTTCATAACAGTGATGCTTTAGGGCAGTTTTAACCCAGAAGAAATGAACGTATAAATTCTTTACAAATTGCTGAATTTAAATATAGTGATTTAGAAGTCCTCTTTGTTTTTCATTTAACAGATGGGTCAAATTAAAACAAATACTTGCACATTCTCAACATATTTCACTTTTAATGTGAAATGTAAATGACAGTATATAGTATGATGTCTTTGAACATCTAACAGCAATAAAAACAATTTAGCATTTTCTTCTTCTAGTTGTTAAAAGTGATAAGTTCTATAAAGCAGAGATTAAATTCATAAATCTTCTGACGATAAGAAAAAGCTAAGTAGAAGGAGACACAAGAAGGAACTGATGCTTTTTTAGTGTCATATTATTGCACGGCACTTGAGAAAATTCATGAAAATGGATGGTAAATTTTGAAAGTGAAAGATACTTGCTGTAGGTAGTATTGACACTTGCAGGATGGGCTCCAGATGGGGTGACACCACTGCTCTGGGTGATGGGGAGGGTGACAAGGGGCCAAGCAAGGACATCACCGAGCTGGGTAGACTGAGCTCGTGTGGGGAAGAGCTTTTGTCCATGGGGGGTGACTGTGAGGTTCAAATCTTTCAGCATAAAGCCCAGGTGGTCTGGTTGGGGATTTGAAGTCTTTGATAGAGAGGTGTGAGTTCCTTCTGTTTCTGGGTACCGTGGTGGAGAAGGGGGACTGGCCCAGGAGCTGCAATAACAACTCTGTGTCTGGTGTTGGGGAGGGCCTACTTCCGGGGACTATTCAGCTCGATTTTGGTACATTTGCCTCAATGGAGGAGTGCAAATTTGTCTCATTATTTTGGAGAAAATCAATTCTGTTTTTATGAAGTATGGTATTCCTTCCAACTTCCTACTGTTGGCTTCAAGAAAAACATGATAGCACATGTAAGTCTCTGCTTCATTCCCCTGCTCCTGAAATGTGCTTGGATAGGCTGGGGCATACTTCCTGCAATCTCTCTGTGTGTGGTTTATTTCATCTTCTTCTGAGTCATGTGGTAAAACTCCAGTGCGTCAGCCCATCCATATGAGCAGTGTAGATCAGACTGGTTGACACTGGGGGGGTCACCTAGGTTTGTTGTTGTTACAGCAGCTTCAGTCATGTTGGGACAGCAGATCTTTCTTCTAGTGAAGGTCTACATGGGTCTGTTGGAGTGTCGCCTGCCATGAGTAACAGGGAAAACAGAGCTGAACTTGATTTTTTGAGTGGTTCATAGGAGCATTTGTTAATTAATTTTATCCACCCCCAGCAGCAGAAACTGGATAGCTGTAGTGCTTATAAATGCACTTGTCTGATGGCACTTAGATGAAATGCAAGCTTTTAACAGTATTTAAAACCTCCTAGTGCTCAACCCACCCTGACAGGGATCGATTCATTTTTTTGTGGCTGCTTGGTCTCATCTTTCTGCTGTGGCTGTAAAGGACAGGGCCTAAACGGCCATCAGATGTCACCGGGGATGGGGACCAGCTAGTGCAATAATTATAAATGTTAAGAAAAGAAGGCACTTTCATAGCTGAAACTATGTAAGTTAAAAATCTTTAGGAAATGCAACAGGTAGCCTGCTCACTGGGAAGAGGGAGCAGTATGGGACAAGCCTCCAAGCAGGCTGCTGGCGGGGTGAGCTTCGGCACGCACTGCTCCATGCCAGCAGTGCCTGCTTGCTGGCCATGGCTACATCCTGCTTAATCTGGGCAATAATACAATGCCATACTTACACAAAAGCAGCTGTATGGTTTGTCCTCAGACTAGATGTGACTGACCTGGACTTGTACTCTACAATGAAGTGAGTTTTGACTATCCCAGATGAAAAATTTATTGTTTCTAAAGCTTCTGTGATATTTCCCTTGGCAGCTTCAGTTTTGTGCTTCTGCTAAAAGCCTTCATTATTTTGTGTATAGTGGCCTCAAGCCTACCACAGTACATACTGTATTGAAATAAAAAAGTCCTTTAGTGTCGCTACATCCTCTGCTTTTCTTTGTATACACTTCCAATGTGCCCCCTGGAGCAATACTCTGCTGTTTGCACAGCAGAGGGGTCCCACTGCATGGGGCTACTGGGTGCTGTGGGTGGTTTGCTATTTGCCAGCTAGTATCTGTGCAGTGCTTTTCTGTCTGCTGACTAGGATGAAATGGCCATCCAAGCTCTTCCTTCCAGAAAGAGAAGTATCAAAGTATTCTAGCTGCTATGAAAGTGTTGAAAGGGATGCATTAAAGCACTGCCGTAGCTGCAATGATTTGCAAGAGCCAGAGATGCAGCTGGGCCTACCTAACTGGAGAGCCTGCTGATACCAGCCTGGTTTTGCCAGCTCCCTGTGCCAAGCAGGGCAGATAGTTCTCTCTGCTGTCTCTTTCCCATCATGACAGAGCTGCAGCTTTTCTGCTCTGGGACCTTCTGCTGTAAGATGAATTTCACCTACATGCCTGGACAGCAAATATCCTACAGCTTCTTTAATAAGCAGGGAAGGGAATTGTTTATCGTTCTGAGAAGCACTACCTCCATCTGAGAAAGGCAGTGTGGTGGTTGGGGTTTTCTTTCTTTATTTATTTTTCTTTGGTCTAACGCTTAAATATGTCAAATATGCTCAGTGCCAACCTGAAGACAGCAGCAGTGGTGGTTTTGTGTGATGTGGTATGGTGCAGGTAGCTTCAGGTCTGGTCTGCTTTATAGGGCAATAGCAGCTAGGGGCTTTACTGAGTCTGCTAAGTGCCATAAAAGGAAAGAGAGTCCCTGTCTCTAAATTCAAATTAAAGGGGCAAAAAAAAAGGACTGGAAAAGCTAGACAGAAAGAGGTCAGTGTCCTCACCAATCCACAAATGCTATGGAGAGTAACATGTGCATCTGATGAAGCTTGTGCTAGTGCCCTGTCAGCTGTGATGCCTGGACTCTCTCATGACTGTTAAAATAATGCCAACATATTCTGTAACAATGCCAATGCCACTGAAAGTACCATGAACGCAGCTGTACCTAGCCATAAGCTAAAGCTAGATAAAACTTTGAGTCAGAAATTAAAAAGACATCTTAGAACTTAAGCTGGTGCACCATTTCCCCCGCACATCCTAGTGCTGGCAGATTAATGTTTTGCTCAGAATAAAGGTATTAT